AAGGGACTCCATAGGCTTTAGGGCGAACCTTCGGAACACGCCAGATGAAGTGGCACAAGGACTCAAGGTACCTACGAAGAGAGAAGTCACCAGCGCCGTGATGTCGACCTTCGATCCACTAGGGCTAGCATCACCAATTCTCATCCAAGGCAAAAGGCTGCTCCAGAACATATGGCGAAGTGGCGTCGGTTGGGATGAAGAGATAGAAGAAAAGGAGTACGAGTCATGGAAGACTTACCTGGAGAAGATGAAGCTGCTCCAAGACCTTCAGATCCCGAGATGTCTGGCACCACGTCGCACCGAGGGGGAGCTGCACACGTTCACGGATGCAAGCGAAATGGCGTATGCAGCTACGGTATATTGGAGAACTGAAAAACAAAATGGGACTTATGACGTCAGCTTAGTAGCAGCAAAAGTAAGAGTCACTCCGTTGAAGCCGGTGTCAATCCCGAGACTCGAGCTGCAAGCGGCTCTCCTAGGAAGCAGATTGGCACACTCGGTCGAGGAAGAAATGGATCTGAAAATAGAAAAGAAGACGTTTTGGACAGACTCCAGTATCGTGCTATCATGGATCAAGACGGACCCGAGAACCTTCAAGACATTCGTGGCTCATCGCTTGGCGGAGATAGAAGATCTCACAAATCCACAGGACTGGAGATGGGTACCCACGGCGCAGAACCCTGCAAATGATGCAACACGTGACGTACCAGTACACTTCGACTGCCAACACCGATGGTACACCGGACCAGGGTTTCTAAGAAGAGATGAAGTTCACTGGCCTGCGGCAAGAACATTCAAGAAAGAAACCACTGGCGAAGAAAAGGCAGCGGACATCGTAGCGACTGCAGGCAGCTCCTATCCATCACCAGATCCCGAAAAGTTCTCGTCGTGGAAAAGACTTTGGCGAGCTACAGCAAGAGTAATGCAGTTCATACAACTCTGCAGAAGAAAGGAAAAGGTCCACGCCAGCAAAGAAGATCCTACCTGGAAAACTACAAAAAGGAATAAGAAAATTGTTGAGAAGCGACATCTGTCTTCAAAAACGTCAGAAAGGAAATACATACCATTAGAAACAAGTCTACTAGAGCAAGCTGAAACGCTGTTGTTAAGAAGAAGTCAAGAGAAATGCTTCAAAGAGGACATCAGGTGCCTACAGCAAGGAAAACAATTAGAGGGCAGCAGCAAGTTGAAAAGGCTCGACGTAGTGCTAGAAGAAGGTCTCCTGCGACTGAAAGGAAGAATCGACGCGATACGAGGGGTTACCAGAGACTACAAACGACCCATCGTACTCGACAGCAAGGACAAGACAACACTTCTCATCATAGAAGAATTTCACTGCCGCTTCAATCACGGGAATCACGCGACCGTAATGAACGAAGTAAGACAACGCTTCTGGGTGCTAGGACTGAGGTCAGCGATCAAGACCATTCAACATCAATGCCAGTGGTGCAAAACAAGAAAGGCAAGACCTCAAGAACTACCAGTGGGCAACTTACCTGCTGAGAGGCTGATGCACGGAAACCCTCCATTTACGTGCACGGGAATAGATTACTTCGGCCCTATGACGATCACCGTAGCAAGACGCCATGAGAAGAGATGGGGTGCTCTATTCACATGCTTAACAACACGAGCTGTACACATTGAGCTCACTCCTTCACTCTCCACTGACAGCATGATCATGGCACTACGACGATTCGCCGCGAGAAGGGGAATGCCAAAGATAATCTACACCGACAATGGCACTAACTTCGTTGGCGCCAACAAAGAACTCAAAGAAGCACTAGACACCATGAAGCAAGAAGACCTTATCTCGGAAGCGGAGAAGATCGGTGTGCAGTGGAAGTTCATACCTCCTGGTGCACCAAACATGGGAGGTGCATGGGAGCGTCTGGTGCGATCCATTAAAACCGCACTGGACGCCACGCTCAACGAAAGGCAACCACGAGAGGAGGTACTTCATACCCTCCTGTTAGAGGCCGAGCACATAGTCAACTCTCGGCCCCTCACCCACCTCTCCGAGAACCCTGAAGAAGAAGCACTTACACCGAACCACTTTCTCATCGGGCGATCATGTGGCGCAGCAAGAATCGGCAGCTTCGAGGACAACGAGCTTGTGGGCAGACACACCTGGAAGGCTACGCAGCGACTTGCCGATCACTTCTGGCAACGTTGGCTGAGAGAGTATTTGCCCACTCTACTACCAAGGAAGACCAAAGGAAGAGTCAGCGCCACAGATTTGCAAGTCGGAGACATCGTACTGATCGTCGATCACAGCCTACCAAGATGCATCTGGCCACGCGGAAGAATCCTGCATGTGTATCCTGGACCAGACGGGCGGACCAGAGTCGTCGACGTCGAGACCAGAGGAGGTGTTCTACGGAGGCCCAGTTCGAGAGTGGTGCTGTTGGTGCCGGGAGCGTCGCCGAGTCCAGGAGTTGGTGCAAAGCACGAGGGGGAGAATGTCGGCGACGGAAAACTTATCTTCGAGTAACGTGTGTATTAATATAGGGACAATGTCATTTTAGCGTATTATGAATAATTGTTGTAAATATGAAATCTCATTCTTATTAGATTTATTATGTTAAAATAAGTTCTAATTAGTGTAATAAGGTTAGTTTAGAGTATTTTTTGCTTATTTGAATCATATAAGACTATTTAACATTAATTTGAAAGGAATAGGTACGTAAGTAAAATGTTAGCATATAATTACGTAACTTGAAAATGAGATTTTTTGTTTCTTGCAATAGCATAATAGTTTATGTTTTAAATAATAGATTTTATTATAAAACTTATAATAAAACAAGAATTAGGTCGATAGGACTATCCGTTCAAAAGTTATAAGGGAAAATGTATAGTAAAAATGTAGCAACCTAGAAATTTAGATATTTTTGTTTTAAGACTTTTTTAATTAATTATTATATATTGAATATTATGTTTTAATATTGTATAAAAGTATGTAAGGCATGTAAATAAATAAATATGTGTAAGGTGTTTTACTGAAAACATAAAATAAAAGGACTCTCAAGGTTTCGGTTTAGGGAAATTTTACTCGAAAAATGAGCTCAAAGTATGCGGCTCTCTGTAAGGTATTAACGGGCCAAATAAAAGGCGAGCCATTTCTCGATTCGAGTCAGTCGCAAGACAGCCACCGAAGAGGCAACAACTAAAAGGAAAAGGAAGAACCGAAACCAAGAGAGAAAAAAGGAAAAATTGTGTTTTATTTCATCGCCTCTAAGTATAGTCTCCTGTCAACGAAGAAACCCTAGTGGATCGGGACCCAAGCTACGCATTCAGGGGTGCGTGGTGGCGTACATTACCAGCGAACGGACATACTGCCGTGTACGCCAAGAACGTCTGGGAGATTGTCCCAGGTCGACCTCCGGGTACTAGACATACCCTGGTTCTGGTCGTCCGAAACAAATCTATACAGATAAATTAAATTGAAGTGTCTGTTTGTAATGTCGAAATAACAGTTTTATACAAATACATATGAAATATTATATACGATACTTTTAAGAAAACACCATTTTTAACATTTGTCTGTCTGTTTGTTCCGGCTAATCTCCGAAACGGCTGGACAGATTTTGACGTGATTTTCACTGGCAGATAGCTAATATTATAAGAAATAACTTGACTACTTTTATTTTAGAAAAAGAATTAGGAGTCCGCTCAGTAAAAATCAAATGCCAAGAGTACAGTACAAGTACCTAGTTGTAAAATGTACCCGAGCGATGCGAGTGTATCGCAAGTTTTACCTTGTCATGATTCTAATTTCTATCATGAATCAAGACACGTTGAAACATATAACGCCATCTATTGAAATTTATTTGAACGACATGTTTATTTAACAGCGCTCTAATGTGCTTAAGGCTAAGAGTAAGCAGCTAAGCACTTCTCGTGCTAACAAAATTTTCAGTGTTAGCATTTGACTCTATTTTTATATCAATACTAATATCTAATAAAAAATAGCGAAAATAACGAAATTAATTGGACATAATAATATATCTATACTTTAACGCGCTTATTCTCAAGTCAACTGGAAAGAAGAAAAAATAATAGATAAATGTAAAAATTTACATCAAAAACTAGATTTTGTATAAATGTAATAAAATAACGGGCAAGCTAGGCAGGCTAAGGCACACAGATTCTTATCTTTGTATACCAGTATTAGAGATATGATGTTGATAATAACATAAGTAATTATTGATAACCATGGAAGATGTTAAACCAAAATATTTCTATGTATAGAATAACTAGCGACTTCACCTGGCTTCGCTCGGTTTCGTCCTTAGGTGTGTTTTAAATGTTAGTGTGGAATAGATAATCTATATATATGTATGTATACCTAACTTATACATAGATATGAGTTGCTGAGGGTTATATCATAACAGGTTTTCCCGTGGGAATGAGATAATATCCCATGATAAAAAGTAGCCTATGTCACTGCAGCCCCCAACTATCTCCACACAAAAAATCACACCAATCCATCACTCTGTTTTGATGTGAAAGAAGGACAAACAAAGAAACACGCTTTCATATTTATAATATTAATGTATGGATACTGGATAGTATGGATTCATTTGTCTAAAGAATTTATCAACATATACATATTACACTTAAAATATATTTAATGAATGTTTAAAAATAGATAAATCTCGAAACTTTTAATTTTAATATATATACATTTTTTTTAACTATTACAACTTTTAATGTTTAAAAAAAACAATGATTAGATTAATACTTAAATATATATTTGCAACTTTCATATTTGGAATAAAAAATGTGCTAAGTGTATGTACTATTGCTATGTATTAAATTTAACAGATATATTTTTTATTGAAACTTTAATAATATAGTAGTAATAAATGTACACTCAAAATGTTTAGGATTTTAATAACAAAATACTTCACAATGGCTATGTATGCTATAACAAATGCTTGTTCAAACTTGACTCCATAAGGGACCTAATAATAAATAAAATTATTGGAAGATCGCCTTCATACCGCAATAAGCACCACAATCATTCTGAAAAACAAAAGTATACTTATTTAACAACAGGTTTCAGTTTTTCGAAACTTTTAATTCATATTTTGTTTAATATTTTATATGAAGCTTAAATTGTCTTGTCTTTTATCTATACATATAATAAAATTGTAACTAAGCCAAATCTGGTACATCAAATATTTTTTGGAAAATCTTATGGACTATTTCCACTTTATTATTGATACAGAGGCAGAATCTATAGTTTTTAGAATTTTTGTCTGTTTGTCTGTTACCGCTGTTGATGAAATTTGGTATGGTGATAACTGGTTATTCAGGTCAACGTATAGGATACTTTTTAGTGCAGGAAAATCTCTTATTTCTGAGAAAAAATACAAAAACTGCAATGTAAGATTATAGTAATATGTAAAACCTAAGAATTTGGGTTTTGGTCATCTGAGTGCGGGCGGAGTCTCGGGCAATGTCAGTATATAATAAAGGTAAGATATATAAGAGGTACAATGGACCAAAACTGGTCGACGTAGCTAGGGCCGACCTCGGCACCACACCCAACATAATAATAAAAGATATAAAGGTAGAATTTAAATTAAAAAAAAAATCAACATACCCATAAAGGTATAAAAAGAATGACAGCAAATAGAATGCTAGTTTGATCCAACCTTCCCTTTGACATACAGTCAATACATCAGCATTCATTATACTTGTTGGGTCATACAGGCCAGGGCCAGACATCACAGGCCTTGTGCGGTACCTACAAAACGAAAAAAATAATATATCTTAAAATAACACACATTTTTACTTACAGAATGATTCAGCATTGAATTATGCTAATGTAAGTAGATTTAGTTTGGTATGATTCAACAACATAACCTATTTACCTGTGTATATGATACAGAATAAGTGGAACATTTATTAACAATGAGAACCATTCTCCTGATAGTAAAAATAGTATGTTTATAAATAAGTGCAGCAAGTACTCCGGTAACACCAACTGTAATTAATAAAATAAGGTTATTTAACGCAAGTCAGGCACTTAAAGATACGTAGCAATATGAAATACTAACTGGATTTAGGCTGTTACATTGATCGATTGGGTTTTTATAATCGGTTTTCAATTCGTCAAATGCTATAACATGGAATATTGAGAAAAATATTAGGAAAGCGTCTACAATTAGGGCTATAATATAAGAAAAGGCTGGGAAACTAAACGCCATTTTGACAAAAAACAAATATGACAATTTGATGATAGAATGACTTTACTATTTTTTATTTGTCGTTTAAGACTTTGACATTGATTCTTGTGTCAGACTTCTGTCGACTATCAAAGGTTGGTCCTCTTATATAATGTCATAATCAATATTAATTATAGTTATTTCATTTAAAAGTAATTTTTGCTACTAATATATTATGTAAGAATAGTTGTAATTTAAAATATTATGAATAACAAGTATAATAAATATGTTGTGTCTGTGGTGTGTTAGAGTATGCTGTATGATTATTATGACAAATGACAACTCTCCAACTCATTTATTTTAGTAATTGGTAAGCCGACCAATGAAAAATGTACTTGTAATTTCTATAAAATTAGAGATTTTACTTGACTAATCAATTTGGTAACATATTTGCTATGCACTTTTAAACTAGAGTACTTTAGCATAAATATTTATTTTTATTAATTAATATGGTGTTATAAATAATAATTACACAATTGACTCTATAAATAACATAACCAAATATGAAAAAATTGTGGTATCTTTTATTTAGTGCAATAGGGGTTTTAAGCATAGAACATGATTTTAAAGGATTCGACGATAGTATTTTATTTGGCATCGAATGGCCTGGTTCTTTAGACAATCTCCAAATTTCAGATGAAGCCTGGGCTTCGAAGGTAATTGGTTTTGTAAGGAAAGAAATATAACAATAAGCTTTGTTTATAGTTATTTATATTGCATCTGGTGTAGTTTATATACAATTCATTAAAGTTATTTTCACATTCCTTTCAATTCATTCAGAACAAGGACTTATTAAAAGTAACTACTTCACATAAAGAAAAGTATGAATGCCACATACCTGAACTACATGTTAAAGAAACACAGAGTATAGATGAGTATGAAGGCCCATCACCAATAAATCTTTTAAAGCCACTGTTCTCTCAGAAAATTTGCTCGTACCGACTTGAAAGTTATTGGAGCTATGAAGTATGTCATGGAAGATATATCAGGCAATATCATGAAGAAAGAGAAGGTATATATATTTCATCTAAATCAAGTTAATTATTAGAGTTAATAGAACAATATTAATGATAATATTTTAAAGATATTGTCATGGAAATTGACTATAAAACAGACTTTATTTTTAGGCTATGGACTTATTTGTATATAAATTTCTTGTCGTTTAAATAATATAGTTCTCCTATTTCAATGTTATTTACAATGAGTTTTTAATCTATTTTTAGCTAAACAAGTTAAAACCCAAGAGTTTTTCTTGGGACATTGGAATGCACAAAAACAAATGAAACTTGAGGCAGATTTAAAACTTGCTGCTGAATCCAAAGCTAAACCTAAGACTACTAAAGTTGAAGGACTGACATTGCCATACGTGGAAATGGCTATGGATGATGGTATGTTTTGAAATTTTTACATCTAAAGAATCTATATAGCTAGCAATATTTAAAAATAAATATTTGCCTCAGTTACTATTATGTAGTTACCTATACACATAAATAAAATTGAAGTATCTGTTTGTAATGTCCAAATACCTAATAGTTTTTTACTAAATGCGTGTAAAATGATATAATGATAAGGTATAGTATATGAAAAACTCAATTTTTTAATTTTTTGTCTGTCTATTTGTCCAGGCTAATCTCTGAACAGCTTTTGATTTTGATTGTACCGATTTTGATGGGACTTTCACTGGCAGTTAGCTGATGTTATGATGAGTAACTTAGGCTACTTTTATTTTAGAAAAATAATCAGGGTTCACTCAAAAAAATATACATAGGGTTGCACTAATAAAATGTATTTTCTTTAATTTTCAGGAACTCTATGTGATCTAAATGGCAAATCGCGTCTGACAAGAATTTTGTATGTTTGCTATAGCCATGGCAAACATGAAGTGTATTCTTTCAAAGAAACTTCTACATGTGAATATGAAATCATCATTTTATCGCCATTACTGTGCGAGCATCCACAGTTCAAACCCAAAGATGTTAGTGAAAATATAATAAACTGTCTACCATTAGACGGAGCACCAAAAAAACCAAGAAATATGTTAAAAAATGAAGTTGAAAGTTTGAAATTTAACACACAGACTATTAAATTAATGAACAGTGTAAGTTTTGTTCCTTTTTTCTATGTAATTTACATTGTAGATTATTAATAGTGAATATTTTTGTTTGTCAACACTTTGTTTATACTTTCTAGTTTTATTTTCTTTTAATCTTCTTTTTTTTATTATTAAGCTGAAAAAAAGTGTGGTTTATGTGCTTGATTATTTAAAATAATAATCCATTTTGATATACTATTCTATACTAGCGACTCACCCTCGCTATGCTCGGGTTCGTCCCGTTTTAATGTTTAGATTTCTCAGAGATGAGATTTTTTCTCGCAGTAAAAAGTATCCTATATTGACCCGGATAACTAGCTATCATCATACCAAATTTTACTGAAGTCCCTCCGGTCGTTTTTCCGTGATGCGGTCACAGACAGACAAACAAAAATTCTAAAAACTGTAAATTTGGCCTCTGTATCTAATAACTACTTCAATAAGGTTTTCCAAATAATATTTAATGTACAGATTCGAATCACAATTTTATTATATGTATAGATATAAGAAAGATTAGTTTTAATTGTACGACACTAATATGAATACTCCATCACAGTAATGAAATGGACCACCTTTATTTAGGATATTCTTATGGCTATTTAGGTTTGATAAGACAATTGAAATGTCTGACACTCGTTGCTGAGTAGCTAATTTATTTTATAAATATGTATCAACTAAATACAGCAAAAAGGCGAAAAAATTTGGATGGCTACAATCCTTTAGAAATGTATATCTCATAAAGTTACAAAATTAAAAAAAAACGGACTGCATTTTAGCGAAGTGAAAAGATGAGTTGAAGAACAAGTCGAAGAAACAGTATTATACAGTAGAATCTAACGACGCGACGTACATCGTATCATCATCAAAATCAGTTAAGCCATTTAAAAATTACCAGGGAACGTAGGGTTGTACAATGTACATACATACATACAGGTCAATCACATAACCCTCCTTTGGGCTTGGCTACAGTTGGATAAAAAGTGGATGCAGCAATTTATTTAAATTGAACAAAAGTTCCTGCTGAAATTCCCATAATTAAATACAAAACTTATGATAAATCAGTAAAGTATACATAATGCATGACTCACGTGACATGTATCATTGAGCAAGAATAGATAGAAAATATTTTTTTTTTTGAAATCATATTATCCATATTAATATTATAAATGTGTAAGTTTGTGAGTATGGATGTTTGTTATTCTTTTACGCCAGAACGGCTGAACGAATCTGGATGAAATTTGGCACAGAGATAGGTTATAGACTGGAATAACACATAGGCTACTTTTTATCCCGGAAAAATGTACGGTTCCCGTGGGATAGGTTTATGTATGTTTTCCTGTGAGACGCTAGTGTAACATATTATTATTAAAATTATTGTGACTGTTTTATTTATAAAACATTTAAACCACATTTTTCATCATAATTTTTAGTTTTTAGTAGCTGTTAGTTGCTTTTTAACATTTGTTGGCATGTTTAGGAGAAGGAAGCTAATGATGTTCTCGCTGTTTTGAAAGTTGAGAAAATTGAAAAGGTAATTTTTTTTTTTTGCTTTTTATGTTTCTTTTTCTTTATTTTAATTTCAAATAATACGTGTGAATATGTTTGGTTGTGGAATGTATTTTTGTTTTTTAATTCTTTAAGACAAGTATTTGTACATAGCTGTTATAGAAGTATTAAAAAAAAATTAAAAACATCATACTAGTTGTACTTTTAGAAAAAGGTGATATTAAACAATATGTACTCATAATTTAGAAAATATTATGATATTTATTATTTACTATTGTTTGTAAATGTCTTAGTGTATTTTTGAAACTTATTTTTTTTAATAATACATTTTACTCCCCTATTTTATGTTGCAAATCTCAAACAGAAAAGCTAAACTATATAATTGTGATGTAAAATATGCAATTTTACTACTATCTTTCGCTCATGTAAATAATGATGAAATATTTTTGAAGTTTGACTTTTTTTGGGACGTTTGGAAAAAATATGACAGTAAAATTTTTGCGATGCGCGCACATAAATATAATATGATTGTAATAGTATGCCTAATATGCCTTATTTATTTTATTAATGTAATCATATTCTCTATGGCACAAATAAGTTATAAGAAAACAAAATACATAGAAAATGACGTGGACAAAGGTCATTTATCATTTCTTCAAAATTTATGATTCCTTTTACAAACAGAGAGTTGTGATATACGGGATGACATCTTTAGCTATTTTTGTTCTGTTACGCCAAAGAAGTATAACTTCTTACGCACACACGTTTTTCTATATATTCGATTAACGATTTTAATCGATTTTATTTTATTTTTCTAAATCGATTTTTTTATTCAATTAAAAATTTTAGGATGGTGAAACTCATTTGAAATTCGAACTGCATCCGTTAAGCGAGGAGGAACAGTTGCCGGGAAGCAAACCGATGCCGCTGATAGAGAAGCCACAACCTATAACAGATGATTCACCAGTTCGGGCGTTTCTAAATGGAGAAAATTGTTTAAACGGGGTTAGAATATTCTATTAAATATTTATAAATATTAAAGACATATATATTTATTGCATAATTTCAAGAGAAGCTAAATTTTCCATAGCAAATCTCATAGCCTATTAATATTATAAATGTGAAAGTTTGGGTGGACGGCTGTTTGTTATTCAATCACGCCAAAACGGCTGAACGGATCTGGGTGTATGTAATTTGGCATAGAGATTGATAGTGATCTGGAATAGCACACAGGTTACTTTTTATCCCAAAAGCCAGTTTTAGAGAATGCCATTTAGCTTAAAAATAACTATCACATAAATTATTGAATATGTACAAAATTTCTTGAACCTTTTGCGTAAATATTTCCTATGATTTATAATGTTCAGGGTGAGATTTGAGTTAACGTGTATCTTTTATTCTGAACTATAGGGAGAAACGAAAATCATTGGAAAGAAGTATGTTCATTAGTTATTTAATGTGTACTTGATTTCAAATAAGAGGGAATTTCTTAAGTCTACGTTATTATTCGTATTTAAGCGATATCATCAATCTAACAAAAAAAAATCAACGATAATATTAAGCATAGACAATTTTATTTATTTTTTTAAATATTTCTAGGGTACTGGCTGGTGGAAATATGAATTTTGTTATGGGAAACACGTAGTTCAATACCACATAGGCAGAGGTGGTGAGAAAACCACACTTTTGTTAGGGAAGTTCAATGAAAAAGCGCATTTGGAATGGATCAAGGAAAATAGAGGGAAAGCACCTAAACCTGTTGGTATGTATACAATATACATATACATAATATATTTGTGCATATATTTTTATTTTTTTATATTTAAGTAAAATCTCAAAGTAAGGAATAATATAGGCAGAGTATCATAGGAAATATAAATATGAAGTCAAACAATAATGGTTACTGACACTAGCAAATTGTAGTCCTGAATAGCACATAGGTTACTTTTTATCCCGGAAAAATATACGGTTCCCGAGGGATAATTCTTCATTCTAAGAGTAAAATACAATAATTATTAATTATAATATTGAAATAATTCAAATACGACCATTTATATCACATATTCATCACCTATTAAAAAATAAAATAAAAAAGACCACATTTTTCAACTATTTTAATTTTTTTTTAAATTACTTGTGACCTTGTATTTTTAATTTTTTAATGTTTTTTTAGAGCAACGTACGTCCGTATCCCATTTCTATTCGGGTGGAGATATTTGCGACAAAACAAATAAGCCTAGGCAGACTGAAGTGAAGCTGAAATGTTTAGAAAATTCTTCTAGTCCAGCCCAAGTTTCCTTATATCTATTGGAACCGAGGACATGTCATTATATTTTAGGGGTCGAATCCCCCTTACTGTGCGACATTTTGCCGTTAGCCGATGAAAATGGACTAATTAATTCAACAAAATTAACTTTGGACGCAAAAGATTCTTTGATAGATACGAAGGTCGAGGAAGACGATGTAAAACAAAAGGATGTGAATAAATTTGGTTTTGATTAATAAATGAATTGTTTAGATTTTATTGTGCTTTTTTATTGTTGCTAGTGACACGCATTGTTCGAATAAACCATAGGTCAAATCGTTTTTTAGGTTATAGTTTTTTTGGCGCGTTAGGGGATAATGATGAGTATTTTTTTACTATGCGACAAAATATTTAGACTACAGTATGAATTTTGTTGTTAAATTTCCCTAAAAGAAGAAAAAAATAATAATAATTATAATAAAAAAAACTAAACAGAAAAACAATTTTTTGTTTATTGCTCTAAAAACATAGAAGTATATGTATGAGCGTACATACATAAGTACACACACACTATTTTTTAGATCATGGGATCATCTCTAAATGAGAAGTCGACATTGTGCAACATTGTACCATTTAAATATGTATTAGTATAATTTTGAGATAAATATTAAATTAACACAGATCACATAATACTGTACTAGTACAGATTCCTCATCCCATACAAAGAAGCGAAAGACAGCGCTATTTCGGGCTATTTTTGTTTACTCAAGTAGATAATATTTCGTCGACTCGCAAGTAGTTAAGACTGTCTTATTTTATAAATATGTGCAAACTAACGTATGGTAAATATTATGAAATTCATCCTGCATTTAAATAAAAAAAAACAGTGATTTTAACAATTTTTAACCGTGATAAACAATTCATAAAAAGTGAAAGCGCCATCTGTAAATATGTATACATGGTAGGTGAGCTGCTGAACATTTTATGGTAGGTTCTTGAGGCACTACAGAAAATTTTGTAATTGTCCTTGAAGGACTCCTAAATAAGGCACTAATCCCCGGTGGTAGGACTCTGTGCAGCCTGAGGAGTCCGACTGGATGGGTACAACCTCCTTATCTATTTCTCCCGCCCGTTGTGTTCCGGTTTCATGGATAAGGTAACCAGCGTAATTACAGGCAAGAGACATCATCTTAGTCCTCACAGTGAAAATATCTCATCTCTGAAAATCTATACTAAACGTTAAAAGGCAGGGACAAACTCGATCGCAACGAGGTTGAGTCGCTAGTAAAAAATAAAAAATCTTGCTAATATAATGAGTATTGTTACTCAATAAATGACTATCAAAAGAAATAAGATTTTTTTAAATCGGATCGGACTTACAGAAATTAGCGTTTTTAAACAAATAATAAAGCATAATATTTATTTTAGCATAGATATATTAACTATCGTTCCCAGCGTTTTTATTTAACTGTCATCAATTTCATTTCTAGAGTTTTAGACTTGATTATGAAATCCTCAAATAGTTTGAATTGTCATGAATAAGGCGACCTCTTTTTAATCGACTTCAAAAAAAGGAGGATGTTCTCAATTTTTTGTAGTTTTTTTTTATTAATTCATATAAAGGCTGAGATTTGTTTGTATTTCAAAAAATCATGGTTAGCAAGGGTAAAAATAAGAAGACATAAATTTAACTTGACATTTATTTACATTTATATCAACAAAACGGGTGTTGTATAAAACAGTTCTTTTATTTTACACCAATTGTATACTAAATACGGTGCTTCGAAACAGTGAAAAAATAATTTTTGCGTCTGTATTAGGATGTGCCATAGTAGGTACCGTGACTCCGCTACGTAAGCGATAGCGATTATTTGTACCATTTCAAAGTAGGGTTTTTAATGGTTGACGATGTGATATGATAAACACCTATTACATACTCGTATATGTACTTAAATAAAAGGTAAGTTTGATTATGATAATTTGCATATATTTTTTCCTTTTATTAAGATTGAAGAATAATAAGAAAAAAAATGAGTTACTCAGTAACTGAATGTTTTATTTGAATTTTTGCTGATTGACTTTTGTTAATATAATGAAATATAATATCATAGAGCTATACTCATAGATTTTCAAGTGCGTATTGCCGTGATATTAAGTATATTTATATAGTAAAGTTTTTATAAGTAGGTAACATTCCACGTGGTTTTAAAAAGGGGAAATCCCCAGTTAACCAAATACAGTGTTTATTAAATATCACATCGCCACATGAAAAAAAATGTCAAATTTATGTTTTACACTCTTGTTGTAAGCTCATCGATTTCTCCAATTCACATTAACTAATTCAACCCAAACTAGAAGCGTTCTAGCAATCATTTCTTATTAATCTAACCCAAAAATATTACATGCCTCTTCATGTCTTTAGCTTATATTTAATTATTTGTAGAAGTTCCAATTCAAAGTTGACAATGCACATCTAGTTTTTCTTGTTTGTTGAAAAATATTTCTAGATTTTAACGGTAGATAATCGCATTAAAAATTTAGAATTTATTTCGTACAAATAAAACCAGGTGTGTATTATCAAATGGTCTAAACTTTATACATTCGACAGCAAAAATACAATCCTTATGAACCACGTTAGTTGCATACGACTAAGTTATATGCACATCGGCCGCTCACTACATGGCAACACCTCGAAAACATTTTCTTGCAAGAAATAATAAAAATACGTCACATTTTTTATTCAATTTCCCACAGTTTCCTGTGAATTTTATAAAATTTAAACATTACTGTGCGGAACGGCCTTTATAGTTGAATTTGATGATATTATTAACCTCTGTTCACAAGTTTTGCTTCTTATGGTATTTTTTTTAATTTACAACAATGAGGTCGCATATTCAAAATTTTATTATCTAGAAATTATAAGTAGGTAAAAAATCCTCTTATAATATATTTCTTTTTAAATCACACCTATAAACAGACTATTCAGTGGTCGTGTCCTAGGATTGTATTAGTATTTCTATAAAAGAACAATCACAAATGTTATTTATTTTAATTTTACATGTTTATATCAATTGCGTGTTTTCGGTTTCTTTTTAAAAATAACGTGTTTATGATTTCGTAAGTAATAATAAAAACATAAGCCAGTAGGTAATTGTATAAAATGTTGTAGGCTTTAATTTTCAATAAAAGCGAGTATTCGAAAAAAAATAGATAAGTATTGTGATTGTTCTATTTAGAGTCAAGTAAGATTTTTCAACAATACATCCCCATTTTTAATAATAATTTATTTACTTACAACAAAAATAAGGAAAACATCCCATCAAACTTTTTACACAGATTCACCATAAGACAATTATCTATATTGTTAAACAAAACTTATTCAGTGCAAATATTGTCTTTGTTCAGACATTGAAATTTTTCTACAATCGAATACGTACAAAATAAACCGAAAAATCATAATATATTTTGAATAATAATTACTCAACTAAAAATAAAAGACGTATGTATGCAAAACCATCAGTTTTTATGACATTTCCAATGAAACTCGACATTTGGTCGTTGTTTTTTTTTTAATAAACAAATTGGCACAAATAACTAAATACTTGGGTAGGTAACCTTATATTTTTAATAAGATATATTTTAAATTAAGTAAATTATTACACAAAGACGTCCCCATTGAGCGATTTCTTGATAATCACATTAAAATAGTAATAAAGGAATAAAATATTTTAAGTAATACTTAAATTAATAAAATAAGAATTTTCTAGAAGTGCCATCTTAATAGTATTTGCAATCTAAAAGGTGATTAAAAAATTCAATTATATGAACATAGCAGAATAGTAAACATGAAAAAGTGATGAAACAAACAATTAATTTAGAAATAGAAATATTCAAGAACTAGAATTGAAAAAGTATGTTGCAAGTAATTGAACGTCGAACTTACACAAGAACTTAAGACTATGTTTAAATACTTAATTCTAACAAAAATGTTTGACTAATGGGTCAAAGTTCGATGTTTACAAACACATATACAGGTAAGATATGTTTTATTTATTAAAATACGTCCTCCTAAAGTTGAAAAAAAAATTGCGTTAAATTTAATTGGTTACACAAATATCGTAATATACTCTGAAAATCTTATACAAAGACATGAATCATTTATATTTATATAAACCTATTTTTTTTAAATAATTATCTAATGCACCTAAAGTAAATAAAAGTTCATTATATTATAAAACTCATAAATACAAGTTTTTTTAAATTTCGTAACTAAGTATTTTTTTAATAATGATTCAAATTCAAGTTCCATGTCTTTGGATAAGATTTCATAGAAGTGTCTTTGTGTTAGAAATGTTAGCATTGGAAAATGATGAAATCATTTACTAGACATTATTTATGGCGATTAAAGCATTCAGCTTTATTCATAGCACACGAAAAATATTAAGTACACTATTGACAACATGTAGGTAATTAATAAATACACTGATCACGTTGAGATCATCATATTAATCTAACATCTTATAATTTTAAACAAGACCACAAAAATGTAGATAATGGCCACTTCAGCTATGTATGTGGTAACGCAGAATAAAAAAAATAAACGTTCACAAAGAACGCAACAGTAAATAAATACTTAATTGTATATTGGTAAAAGATGGTAAGCTTTGGATGACAATATTTTTTTTTTAATTATGACACAGACTTTAACAAAAAGCAAACATTGACAGCTCTTTGGCGCGAAAATCGCAACAATTCTAAAACGTAACTTACTCTTAGAGTGACTAAAAACTTATAATTTAAATAATAATTATGTTTAATGTTTATATTAATAATAATATAATAAAGAAATTTGGGGAATACTTTGGAAACGATAAATCCTTTGACACAAACCTTAACCTTATACTTATTAGATAACAACTGTGCACGCGGACACGATTCGGAACGAACCTCATTCAGTTCAAGTGCACCGGATACATCACAACAAACGTTCAAACTTACAACCTCTGCATAGTTAATTCACTAGGAACAAGTTCTGGAATATTCTAGTACGGTCTCGACAGTTCTTTAGAACGTTTCAGTTGAACTTTGAGTCTCTTTGTACCTATTTGGAAGCCGTTCATGGCTTGTATGGCCGCCTGTGCGGAGGCTGCGTTATCGTATGAGACGAAACCGAAGCACTTAGAGAGGTTTGTCTGTTTGTCTATGAACACTTTAGCCGATATGACATGACCGAACGGTAGGAACGTGGACGCTAGGTCTGTATCCGTAAATTCTTGCGGTAAGTGATATATGAAGAGGTTCCCGCCCTCGGGTCCTGGAATGGAACGATAGGAAACTGTAAATAAAGATAAGTTAGGGTAGAACATGTTCATTAGGGCTAACAATAACACAGATTAAAACAGTTTAAAAACAATAATATGATGTACCCACATAAAAAAAAATGCACTGTCATATGTCAGGTAAATTAATTAGGTAGGCACTTTTGTTAAATTAGAATAATTGTTTAGAAGTTAGTTACATAACACTAATATTTATTATAGTTATATTTTCACAAATATATTTTTTAAATTCCATATTTATTTAATAACAAATACATTAAGTTAATAACAATATTATTATTCACCTTCAACCTGTTTGCCGGCGGCGGCGGCGGCGGCCGACCCCAGCACGGAGCCGAGTGGCGCCGCGGCGTACGCCGTGCCGAACTGCGCAGCGTATGCAGACCCTAGAGGCTCGGCTGTGGACCCTGGAAATTATACACCATGATCTAAGTAACCTATATATGTAATAATTTATCGTTAGTGAATTTTATTTTTTATCTATTCACAAATCGACATAATGCAAATCCGTGTGCAGTCGAATTTGAGTTTTAAAAATTTATGGGAAATTAATTTATATTTTCATAAATTATCTCAATAGGAATGTTTTTTACTGGTATGAATGAGGTGACGAAATGTCATGTTGGAATAAAAAAGATTTTGTTTTTTGCTTGTTGATCCTTTTTGCAGTTTGTTATTTTATGTATTTTTTTTTCTCAGGCATAACATATTTAAAGGATGAAAATTAGATCGTGTGAACTAATGTTCAAACAATAAAACTACTTAGCACAATTTTAAAACTATTTTAGCATATAATGAAGAAGCGACGGATAACTACAGTATGATGACAAACTTGAAAATACGTAAGTAATTTGTTTGTATTACAGTAAAGTCAAGTAGCAATCAAAATTATCTATTTATTTATTTAAAATATAATATAAAATTTGTCAGGTAATATAATTATATAAAACAATATTGCAATATTTATACTAGTTTCTTCTCTACCATTTCAGGCATGTGTAAAATAAATTATGTACAAATTTATTTAATAACTTCATTCCGTTACTATTTACTACATACTATTATTATTATTATTATTATTGTCGTAGAATATCTAAGTATGTATTTTGTCATAACATTAAGTATGAACTCTAGAATAAATAATCTACAATTAAACTATGTAATTAAAATACCTAATTAGCTTTCTAAAATCGCATGCTCTTATATTGTTTACGAATATATGCGTTATTTAAATTAAAAGAAAAATGAACGACACAAATTATTTTATTACAAACCAAAGTTTGCTCACTTATTGCGTATGATTATTTAATGAAATGTTAGTCTAAGTTTATCTTATATGTACTTATTTATAACGCGTTTAAGTTAGTTTCATACAAACAAGAAATTAAAACCTCGATGACAAAACAATAGCGCAGTTAGATTGAATCTTGGATATTTTTAGCATACGTAAAACAAAATTATGATGTGTCATACAACAGAAAAAATATTACCTACATTGTTTAAACATTCATGCAAAAACAATCATGTTAATCAACAAAATATGTGTCGCAATTATTTAGACAAAGTTAGGCTGTACGGTATTTATCAGTGCCACAAAACCGTTAAAGTGTCAAATAAAAATTCAGATATAAGGTTATTGTTTATAGTTTGTAAAAAAAGGTTTTACTAGTTAAATTATTGCGACAGTTTTACTATTTTATGTTAGATCGTACTTACACGAAAATGTCAGAACAAAAATACAACCTTTACAAAATTTCAACTCAATGACATCCATAACTTAGCAGTTACAAACAATATGATTATATATCAGTACCATTCGAACTTTTTATTTATAATAAAATCATATATTTCATTTAATATGGTAATCACGAAACTTTTGGTCAAATACGTTAAAGAATAAATAAACAGTTTTCCACACGTGCGACCGTTTAATTTGGAATAAAAATGGCCGCTCGTTTTACCAAACTGATACGTAACCATAGTTGAATACACAAATAAAATGCGAAAACAAGCGAAACCTCTGTTGAAACAATATTCGGTTAAAATTTTGCTATCAGTACCTACGTCCATCGTTGCAAATAAAATTGGTTTTAGTAAAAAATATTACAGTCAAAAATAAAAATATAAAAAAAACAATGGCGTCGTTTGCCAATTTCAGAATTGAAAGCCTAATGTCACGCAAAAGCAATTTTCGATCGATTTACGATGCAGATTATAAAATGCACAGAAATCAAACCAAGCGATTCCTAGACTCATGCAATTCAAATAAAGTAGACTGAAGGTATTAGAGAAAAAAAAAATTAAAAAAATATTGACTTAAAAAAAAACATGGCAATCAATAGCAAAAGTTCAAGTCTACAATATTTGTTTGCAGTAATCCGCGATACCAACAAAAATGTCATTCCATAAACACTTTCGATTTGTTTGGTCTTTACCTGTGATGTTAGTCTTCCCGAGAAGACCTGAAGTGTGAAAAAGTTTCATCAGTTAATAAACGTTTTTAACTCTCAACGTATAAAAGCCCAATCTGAAAGAGGAAAGTTTTGCGGACAAAAATATCATTACGATTTCTTTTCACGGCCATCTTGTTATGGCACAGTCCCAAATAAGATTTGGACAGGTATAGATTAGATGGAAATCTATAATATAGTCTCAATTGTCTTTTCAAGATGAATGAGCAGAGGATGTCGGAACAAAAGCAAAAAGTCAATTAGGAGTTACAGCTTCAATTTTTGTATTACGTAATTAGGCATTTTTTTTTATTTTACGAATTTCTTTTCTGTCTTGAGTTTCTTTTGGGTAATACTCCAAATATATCTATAGAGATATAAATAAAATTGGAGTGTCTGTTTGTAATTTTAAAATGACAGCTTTTTACTAAATGCATGTGAAATTATTACGGTACTTATAAGGAAAACACAATTTTAAATTTTTTGTCTGTATGTATGTATGTTTGTTCCGGTTAATCTTTAAAACGGTGAGACTGATTTGGACGGGACTTTCACTGGCAGATAGCTTATATTATAAGGAATAACTTAAGCTACTTTTATTTCAAAAAAAGAATAGGGTTCCGCTAAAAAATATTAAAACGTACCCGAGCGAGGCGAGCGTAAGTCGATAGTATCTAATTATTATATTAAATACATACAGTAATTACTATTTATTATACAATCTCATCACGAGCTATTTTGATATATAATGATAAATATAATATTTTAATGAATATATTATTATTCTATTTATTCCAGTATATTTTTTATATAATGCGCAATATTCCTTTAGGTTTTCATTAACACAAATTAAAACTGTGCCGTAACGAATTAACTATAGATAATAAGCAATAGCTTGATAGATATTACAGGAAAAACTTTGACGTTGAACAGTCATTAGCGTGAATTTAAATTCAATTTATTAGATAATTAAAATTGAATATATTACATAATTAAAATCGAATACACAATATAGGAATATACCGTTACTGATGACGCCTATAGATATTTTTTTTCCACTAAGCCAAACCGTAATAAATATTATATGACTACCATAAATACTTTTACCAAAATGGGACATAAGTGCCAGTGAAGACAATTTAGTAAAATATCAAAACTCAGAAAACAACGTATTTAATTCTAACGGTTTTCTTATTAACAAAACGTATTGTTTTACTTATCTCATGTTCAATTTCATAATAACTTCACCTACAGAACTTAATATAATATTAACATTCCTCGAATATAATATTACTCCATTCTCCGCTTTCCACTTTTACATACGGGAATTGAACCCACAGTCTCCGAGAGGTTCAGCTAATTCAAAAAAAATATCTATTGGACCTTGACGGTCACTGTGCATGTACGTAATATTTATTTACTTTTATTTAATTCGTAATAATAAAAATAACCGTAAATTCAAAGATTTATTTTGTTTGTAGCGCTCATAATGTATTACAATATGGGCAAATATATTAAGTAAAATTATTTACACGTTATGAACATTCACATGTATATACTTACACAATTGAGGAGCTGTAGGTTGAGGCGCAGAGGCGGGTGCGATTTGTGTAGCTTGAGAGACTACTGGTTGGGTCATCGCTGCTAATGCCGCGAGATTCTGAACGCTCACTGGCGCCAGTAGACCCCCCAACTGCTCTGCAGTCCCCACTCCGCCCCCACTCAGCCCTGCGCCATTGAAAGCGATATCCTGATAGTTAACACCTATCACGAAGATGGAAATAAAAAAAAATCGGGGTTAAAATAAAACAAGGATGGGTTAGGATGGGTTGTGAAATGTTAACAAATAAAAATTAACATTAACACAAAATACAAATAAGCAAATAAAAATACATATTATATTAATAAATACATTCAAATTATTATAACAGTTTAGTAACAATGCAAATAATAAAAAACCTATTCGTATATATCAACGTATGGATATACACAAAACCTATCAAATTATACGTACTTTACAAGGTTCTTTACGGAGTAAAAAAACAATGGCACTTAAATGGGGGATAATTAAACGAGTCGTCTCTTACTGAATGCATAATTAGTCCTAATCGTAACTGTTTCCAATTATGCTGTGTGCGTAAATTGCCTCAATTGTTTTTCAGTACTTGAAATTGGGTCTATTGTCTGTGAGTGAAAATTAAAAAATTCTTTCGATTCGAACCGATAAGGGACGTTTTTTTTCTCCTAATTAATCATGAATTTACAGATTAAAGTTACTACAGTTTCTAATTTTGTCTAATACGAAGTATTTTTCTTCTATTCATGATTATTGTAAAATGAAAATATTATAGATAGATGGTTGCCTTGAACTAGTTGAAACCAGTGTGTGTATCCTCTTCAGTAAACCTCCATTTTTGTAATGACAAGAAGAGGAGAACGGATGTACAGTTCTCTAGGCATTTTTTGTGTACTTTGACTGACTACAATGTTGGCAAATTGTATGAATTGACTGGTCCAGTTCACAGTTTTTAAAGATCGTAGATTAATTCCTACTTTCATTTCATGTTGGTCTATTTTAAACTATCCGGTACTTATTTGTAAAATTACTAAAAAAGGAGGAAACAGAGCGACCTATCTTTAGATTTCCTCAATTAATAGCTTAAAAAGATTAATAAATCTTCTTCAGACTTATATAGACTTTTATATACAGACCTACATAATTATTACTATAATTATTCACCTTGTAACAACGTAGATCCCTGGCCTTGAAGCAGTTGTTGTTGAAGACCAACAGCCTGCAACTGTTGCAACAGTTGCAACTGTGTTGCGGGCGATAGAGCGGTTTCCGACGCGAGATACGCAGTCGGCGTTACCGGTGTTGTAAGACCCCATAAGCTCGCTTGCATCGCTTGTAACTTCTTCTGTTCCTTCTCCTTCTGTGTGTCAGCGAATTTTACTACGAGTGGTGCCGAACACCCTTCCATAGTCTGACTGTGATGTAGTGACTGGAAAGTTAAGTTTAACTATTGTAATTAATTTGACCGAATACGTATGCACAAATAAATATGAAATATATATGTAGTTTATAAATTTTGAAATATTGGAAAAACTGATATCAAAGTCTTGTTATTTATTTATAACCCCAATAGTTATACGAGCTAGGCATAGAATTCAAAAGTGGCTGAAATCAGCCTTTTTATTGTGCAATACCACGCAATGGCTGTAGAGCTCTATGAAATAGTTGTGGTGTAAAATTGACTTTTACAAATTGATACTCAAGTAGTCCAATTTTATTTTTATAGTTATTGAAGTTATCGAAAATTCCTGAATATATTCAGAAATACAGTCAGCACAAAAGTGGCATAAAGTTAAAAATTTCTGTGTAATCAAATCTTGGAAGTCGGCTATAACCTTCTTCTAATTATCATATCCATTTAAAAATTGTAATTGTTTAATATAAATTAAATGTTACATTTGATCGCAGTAAACTTTAATCTGACCCTGGGGTCAGGAGGTCGATAGAGTCTTCAATGGTTTACAGAAGCCATTGGTTCAAAAGGTCAAAAGCATGTTATTTTTTGTTTTTACATAATCTCATATATCTCACCTTTATAGCCGCGATAGCCGCCTGCTTCGACACGAAGGTGACAAATGCACATCCTTTGCTCTGTCCTTGCGCATCTCTCAACACGGTGCACTCTTCTATGGCGCCGTGTCCCGCAAAAAGAGCTCGAACGTCGTTCTCCGACAATTTCTTGTTTAACATCCCAACAAACAACTTGCGTTCTGTGAACAATAAATATTATATTATGTATTTCAACTGTATTATTTTCTAAAATTAGTTTTAAAAGTATAGATTAAAAGTGAGTGTCTGTAGAAAATGCCTCTACGGTGCAGATCGTAGTTTAATACCCGATTGGGGTAAATTTAACTATTTAAATATACGTTTAATTAACAGTTAAACATTTGATATAGATTGTATTATTGACTTACACAATATATTACTTATATTTAGAGACCACTTTTCTATACATATAATAAAATTGTAACTAAGTCGAATCTGTACAATAAATATTTTTTGGAAAATCTTATTGAAATAGGCATAGTTATCGATACAGAGGCCGAATCTAAAGTTTTTAGAATTTTTGTCTGTTTGTCTGTCTGTCTGCCTGTTACCGCATCACAAAAAAACCACTAGAGGGATTTTGATGAAATTTGGTATGGTGATACTTTTTACCGCGGGAAAATATCTCATTTCTGAGAAAAAATACAAAAACTGCAATGTAAGAGTGTACTAATATGTAAAATCTAAGAATGTGGTTTTTGATCATCTGAACGCGGGCAGAGCCGTGAGTACCTAATGCTAGTTATTTTATAAGCTAATAGAAACTTTAGTGGTAGAGCTATGTGGTATTTGACATTACGCTATCCGAGTATATCAAATGAAGAAACTTCGAATAATGAAAGGAACTAAAGTAGAAAATTTTAAATTTAAAGTTTTCTTAAACAAAATAAAATTTGACGTTGAATCCTTTATGCTATTATATTCTCTGAGATCATTTTACTACAAAGTTTTTCTTCCTATATTATCGCTCTCCAACAAGTACGGGATTAATTGTTGCAAAGTATATAAGTAACTTTAAAAGTAGATCCAATGAGGTAATTTAGCTAAAGTTGTGATCACTTTATACGCGTAATTAGAGCTTTTACGGCTTTTGTCACGGTTCTTACCTTATAATTAACCTAAAAGTACTTATGAAGCTTACGAAAGTATAAAAATTTCAATATTTCCATAGAAAACTTAAAAAATAATTATTATTAAACACTATATTATATAAATAAGAGCACTAGAATCCAATTTAAAAATGCACGTATCGTCCCAAAGGGTTCCAAATAAAATTCCATATGAGATTTTAAAATTCTGTACGCAATAACACTCGTATTACCCGGAAAATCTCGTAAAATTACACGCGGCGCTGTCAAAAGTCACGGTCGCTGAGCGCGCCGCTGCAGGCGATGTACACTTCAATTCCTTTTTCTTATATTAAATAATAAATCCTAGACGACACATGTCCCGCGTGTAAAACACGTCGTTCCTCATACCGGTGGTTATTTACTGCTGGATGCGATATTACAACTTAAATGTGGGGGCCGGTGAAGTCGTGACTCATATTTTCTAAAATTTTCTTTGTTTCGATGGATTGTGATGTTAATATGGAGTTTTTCTTAACGAAAATTCGTTTGAATCTATTGTGTCAGTACTGTTTATTTATGGGTATGTTACGCGATATGTTATCTTCATATTAAGCAACTTAACATTATTATCGCTCGCATAATACCTTCTTAGATTTACGCGATTATGTGACATTTTAAATAATATCGCTTGCAGTTAAATTGCTTCAAAACAAAGAAATAAATTTAGACTTGGCGACATAAAATATGAAAAGCCATTTGTACTATTGCACTTCTCACACGTGATATACGACAATATAAAACGCTCCAACAGTTTCCCATTTCAATCCGTCAAAGATTCATAGCAGATGATCTCACGTACCTACTTCAATACTATTTCGTTTTACATTTTGCATTATACTTGCTGGAGTGCATTGTAGGATATGAGAGTCGGAGATAAGCGTGTAGGAACATTGAAATATACAAGATGGATGGTACACGGAGGCTGTGTTAAAAAATCCAATGCGACTGAGAAACTTCGAGCTTGTTCATTTCGTCGTGACACAAACACGTGAAAGTTTGAACAACGGCCTTTAATAACGAGAATGGATGAGAGAAGGACTTTTTTCATGTGAAATTCTTTATTCACTCAAATCCCCGGAGGTGAAGCGCGTAAATTGAAAAGGTACAGAATGAGTCTGTTACAAATATTTCATGCCCACAAAATCAGCACTCCAACGGAGATTAGCATTAAAATGGCGGTTGAAACGGGAAGAGATCTCCCGGAAATCAGGTCAGCCGTGAGTTTCAATCTTGTGAAAAAGAACCCGCGTCACATCCGCTTGTATGACCATTGCATGGTGGGCTAACTGAACATTTTACTAGTTGTTTAGGTACTATAATTTTAAAAAATAGAGTAGGAACTACTTTGGTACAAAATTATCATTTTAACATTATATTATCTATGTAGAATATAGAATAAAAAAATATATGATTCAAGACACTTTCTATTAAGAGCGCGATACCCCTCACGGATTTAATATAGCTTGCGACAAATCGCACGTTCGTAATCTTGGCTGTAGTTGAAGATTACACTAAACTATTTATCAATAAAAATAAAACTTATATATATTAATTAATGAATTTGTACAAAATGAAAATTATTGTTTGATTAAAGCGGTAGTTAAACATTTTGGTTGAAATAACGAAAATAATGATTTCATATTAAAATGTAAGGTACACTTATAATACATTAACACTAGCGACTCACCCTCGCTCCGCTCGGGTTCGTCCCTAACTATGGTTTATTTTATTTTTTTTATTTGGTTTATTATTAATTTTAAAGGTTAGTATAGATTTCTTAGAGATGAGATGTTTTCCCGCAGTTAAAAGTATCATATATGTTGACCCTGATAACCAGTTATTATCATACCAAATTTCATTAAAATCTCTCCAATTCTCGTGATACGGTCACAGATACACAGATAAAAATTGTAAAAACTATAGATTCGGTCTCTGTATCCATAATAATGTTTTTTTAATGAGATTTTCCAAAAAATATTTTATGTACAGATCCGGCTTACTTACAATTTTATATATAGATTATGAGTGTTCTATTTCGGCAACACTGTAACATGAAATCATTTCAAGCGCGTACGGACCCTGCGGTTTCCTCTAACAGGTTTTGTTTAAGGTACATCTAAGAATTCACTTAAGCGACCTATTTTATTCAAGCTCTGTCGACCACAAACTAAAACACGGTACGAGACCCATTTAAAATAGGTAGAGGAGGCCTTTATGGAAACACATCCGCTTCAATTCAAAGGACTGCCAACTGCCAAGAATATTTTAGTGTGTATAAGTAGAATGTTAGTAAAAAAAGATTTTCAGACGTGTACGTACAATAGTTACGGCAGTAAATTTTTTTCTAAGTTAACCGATACGGGAGAGCGGGTCCGTTTGTATGGCAATGTGCCAGGGTGACATTTGGCGACGATGGATTTTTGATAGCCGCTATAGTACCGGGGCATTGGCAAAATCGATTTTATATTTTCAAAGTTTGAAAACGATACACTGTATAGAGTCGTGATAATATATACATATAATATTATTTGTGATATTATATTTTATTTTTATTTGCATATTAAAATATCGATTTTTAGGTATGAAAGAATCTTCAAATACTCGCTTCAAAATTAACTTGATAAATATAAATGAAAAAGTTGATGATTCATAAGTGCTTCAAAAGTTTTTTAAATATTTATTACCTATGTATTATGTATATATTTTGAGTTCAAGTATGAAGTGAGTGAATGGTTGCTTTAATTTTAAAGATGGCCATACTCGCTGTACTCTGTACATTTAAACTGCACAGGTAAACTGAAGATTGTGTGGCAATTATTCGTGCAGTTAGTTTATTTTTACTGTTCGTTCGAGCTTATCTATAGAATTTAACTGTACAGGTAACTCTTTAGGACACGTAGACGAAAAGTAGTCTCGTGAACCTATTACTAAACCGTGATCTGTGATACCTGTACAGGTATATTTTGAACCATAAAGTTATAATAGTTTATTACAATAGGTACGAGTATATTATATTGTAATCCATAATTATAAATATGAAAGTGTGTTTGTTTGTTTGTCCTTCTTTCACGTTGAAACGGAGAGACGGATTGGTGTGATTCTTTGTGTGGAGATAGTTGGAGGGCTGGAGAGTTACATAGGCTACTTTTTACAGCGGGAAATTATCTAATTTCCACGGGAAAACACGTTATAATACAATCCAAAAAAATATTTACGATCAGAATTACTTGAAATTTGGTAATAATGCTCTTCAATAAAATTAGATAAATACGTGTTTTAGTATTTTTCGAAATTCATTTTATAGGGGGGTAAATAGGGGATGAAAGTTTGTATGAGACTACCTTTTTAGATATTTTTTGTAGTTTTAGCGCGAGCGAAGCCGCGGGTTCTGCTAGTTAAGCTATAAATAAATCATTACAAATAAAACAAAAAAACACTTTTCTATAGGAACAACGTATTATACATTAATATATTAAATATGTCTTAAAGCTTGTTACTGGTAAAGCTCTTGTTCGTCACTAATTAGTGTGTTTAAAGTAAATCCACTTCCGACGAGGAATTGTTATAGGCGTCGATGCAATTATGTGCTTAACAAACAATACTTTAAAATGGAAATGCCTTAAATACGCCATCGGGAGCATTCATTATGCAATCTACATAGCCTATTACTACGTAGTTTAATGACGTTTTCAATTAGTACGACGACCGTCGACGCAGAATGGCGGTATATGCTTAGAGCGTTTTGTTATTACTCAGAAGTGGTCACAGGTTTGAATTTTACTTAGGTAAAATTTCCATATATTATATTAAATGTGGAGGATATACGATATCCTGTTTCTACGATGGAAGCGTATGCAATGGAAACATACAATTGGTTATGTTGTTTTTTACCTCTCTGTACTTTCTAGTAATTTTATCACGCAGGAAAAGTCAAAGGGTATAAATATAGGGTCGTATATAATAATATAACGAATTTTGATGAAACTTTAAACTAATATAGCCTATATATCG